AACAGTTACATGATTACTTCATGTAAGTTTTGTTGGGGCAATTTTAATTTTCATTCTACAATGAACTGTAGTGGATTTAAACATTATGTTACACTCATGTATCTGACTAATATTTTAGCAGGAATTATGTAACAAATTTTGCAACACTGTATGTTCATCTCTCGAAATTTATGGATATTACTCAAATACAAATGACTTTGTAATAGGATTAAGATTAAGTAAGCTTTTCTAAAATAAAATGGTACCTATGTAAGTATCTCTATAATAATAGACTTTTCATTTAGGGACACAAAAATGTATCTCCGCTACTTTATCTAATTGTTGATACTTTGAAAATGCAATTTATCCATTGTTGTGTATGATTGTATTACCGTAACGAATACATTTCCAATATTAATAATTCGGAATAAAAAAGTTGAGAATAAACTACAGGTCATTACAAAATGCAAATCATTTTTTTAAAAACCTTAAATAAGCTCTCCTGAAAAATAGTCATTTTTGAGATACATTTTTGTGTCACTAAGTTGACAATATGGGATGGAAACAACAGCAATTTAAAAGAAATATAATGAGAATGATACTGGGCCCCAATGTAACCAGACCAGGAAAAAGAAGAATGAACACAAACTCTGAAATTAAAGAATTAAACAGAGAAAATATAGTCAGACACATAAAATCTGTTTGCTTAGAATGGAGAGGACATATGTATATAGAGACAACCACACTCAGATAAGTTGAGAAAGACCACTAACTGAACACCACTATAGCCCAGGTGTAGATAAAGACCCAGACAAAGAGGATGGATGGATGATGTAGAAGAAGAAATGGAAAAGAGTCATGAGAGCAGCAAAGACACATAGCAAGCTATAAATGACATAGAGGAATAATCCACCTCATCCAAGAATAGGATTTTGAACTGATTGAATTAAATGTTTCTCTCACTTCTTACTCTTCAAAGTTAGCTATTTACCTGGTTCTACCTCGGTATTATAGTATCTATGTCTTCTTGTCTACTTAGATACAGGTACCTCTAACTGCTCTTAATAATTTTATGAAAATTCTACATATAATTATGCATTATTCTGAATGTGCTTTTTGGAAAAAATAAAGTTTTTAAAATAATTTGAAAATGATAGATTACAATCAACTCATAACCTTGGTTGTTTGGTGTTTTTAACATGGAATCTTTTAAATGCATAGTATATAAAGTTTATATATATATATATATATATATATATATATATTATATATATATATATATATATATATTTACACGTCCCGGCTATAGCTCCTCTTTTCAAAATGCGGTTATAAGTCGTCTTCCAGAAAGAGTGAATATCTTTAAAATTTTATTCGTGTATATTAAATTTTTAACCCTTCTTATAATGTATTGAAAATAAAAACATTAGAATTTTTTATACAATTACCAAATTAATACCAAATGGTCTTCCGTCTAAAATTACTATACATACCTCCTCCAATGTATATTAAACTAACAAAATAAATCTTTCCGCTATTCAAAATATACGTCAAAAACTACATTACGGTGGTTTACTCCTCCAAATATAAATCAGAGACTAAACCACGGTGGATAAGTAAACCAAATAATATATTATAGTGTGGAAACTCTTCAGGTATGTACTTATATAATTTCCATCTACAGCTCCAACTACAACTCCATCTACAGCTTCTGATCAAATGTTAGATCCCAATTATGTTCCCTTCGATGATTCTTCAGTAAGTGCAATAACAGTTTTAAAGGAATAACATTCGTTGAGTACTTTGATATTGAAATGGATAACGGAAAAATATATTATTTTTTTTAATTTAGTTTTTAGAAAAAATCTTCAAGTTTTCCAGAAATAAATAATTATTCTTCCCACTCTAGTTCAATAACAAGTTAACAAAGATGATTTAAATATCGAGATAAGTTTACTTTAAATATTTTAGCAATATATTTCAAAGCACATACTTTTTAGGAACAATCTAATTCACCTTCGTCTTCTGTCAGCCTAAATATCGATCAACGTGGAAGAAACTTGCAATATAAATATGAAGTCTTTAAAAAAATCTATTTTTTGTTACTTTTGTGAATCAGTTGTATTAATTTTCCCAGGCATACAATACGATATTATTAAAGCGAATTAGAAGTTCAAATAATTTTGGTTTACCCTCCAAGAAGTAAAACGAGAATGCAATTGTTATTTGCTTTGAGCAAAAAGGAAAACTATTTATTAGGAAAATTATTTATCAGCAAATTTAAAACCAGTTAGGAAAGGATCTGCAGATACAAACTACCTACCGTGTGACCACTGCTTCGGCATGTATTCTGCAAAAAACTTATGGCGTAACAGAAAAATATGTAATCCTGATTCAATAACCAGAAATTCACAATCACAAGCACAAAATTTCTTAGTAAGGCACCTTAAATTGGACACATAATTATTTAAAAGAAGCTGTTTTTCATCGAATGCTAACAGATAATGTATTCCTCGTGGCTAAAAAAGATCCGCTCATTTGTGCTTTTGGCTCAAGATATTTAAAGATCCATAGAGAACAATACTTTGTACCAATGGCATCAAGAAAAATAGGGAAAGTAGCTAAAATTCTTATCGAACTAAGAAAAAATAGTTTCTCAATTCAATTAAAACGCTCTTTGACTCATTGAAACCAGAATATTACGATTCTTTAGTGTTTCCTACTAAAATAGTTTCAAAACTTAAGCAAAACTTTTAAAGCTGGATCATTTGCTAAAAATATTGGCACTATATAAAAACAGTGTTGTGATAATAGCACTTATGCATAATGCGAAAAAGTCTGAGTTTACTGTTAAAAGTGTCAATGCTAAAATAAAGACACTAAATACAAATAATATAAGTAAATTGGAAATATGATATTTCCAGTCAAGCTGCAAATGATTTACGACATGAAAAAATTAAACAAAGTGACGTTACTACCACTAGCAAGTGACCTTATGCTATTGAAAAACTATCTCCTCTGAATCACAAATGAATGTTGTGATAAATTAAAGAAAAATAATAATAATATTAATTCTTACATGTTTCTGTTAGAAACTGTATGTATATTGCTGTCTAATCTTATTAAATAGAAGGCGCCCTGGTGAATTAGAAAGAATGACTATACAGAGTAACATTAGTGCTAAAGATAATCAATATTATGAAGAATTTTCTGAAGCAATTTCAGAAACCGAAAGAATTTTAATAAAAAGTTTTAAAAGAATAGTAATAAGAAGTAAGAGGGGACGTGGTGTAGCCGTCCTAGGAAGTAAGGATGTACAAGAACACTTAGAAATGATTACAAAATGTAAAGATTTACTTTTAAAAATACCTAGATTTTATCTTTTTGGTAATCCAAAATTTGATAAACCAATTCGATGGTATAAAGTAATGTCAAAGTATGCTAAATTATGCGGAGCTAAAAATCCTAGTGCTCTTACATGTACAAGGTTGCGAAAACATCTAGCAACGCTAACCCAGTTGTTTACAATATCGGAAAATGACATGGAGCAACTGGCTTCATTTATGGGACCCACATTAGAAATCATCGATCCTTATATCGACTCCCCGATGACATTTATCAAACTGTAAAGATCTCTAAGTTGCTCTGTTAATGGAGAAAGGTAGAGCAGGTAAAAGGTTTAGAACAAATAGAGATAAATTTGGAAGAAGACATTATAAAAGATGATAATGGACATATTAATGAAGTATTTAAGGAACAAGAAAATGAAACCAATGATGTTATTGAATCAAAAGGTCCAGAAAGATGTAATAATGAAAAACAGGGAATAATGGATATGAAGACAAAAAACAAAAAAGGGTTTTAGTTCCGTGAACTGAAACTTAAAATAAACTAGCCAAAATGTATTTTAAAACCCACATTAAGCAAAAGAGACTCCCCAAAAAATCAGAATGTGACGATCTGATCTATTAAAAAATAAAAATTGGCTCAAAATAAAGGTATTCATTCAAAATGAATATAAAAAGTATTGAATGTCTTGAGTTTCCCTTAAATTTTCAGTTTTGTTTGTATTTTCATTTGTGTTTATATTTGCAGTTTTATTCATATTTTTATTATTTGTTTTTAAAATATTAAAATTAAAGATTTATAACGAACATAGATATATGTTTTTTTTTCGTTAGCCCATGTTAGAAATTTACAAATGATTATCAATAGTATATATAGCCCTTAAATAATCAGATTCGATTACAATAAAACAAATAGAATACATAAGAATTTGTTTTTCGTTTTTACCATTAGTTTTATTGTGACCAAAAACGTCTCTACTTTGATTAAGATTTTTTGTTGAAATAGATATATACTTTAAAGTTTAAAGAAAGATTGGAAAACTATTAAGTAGTTTTCGAATCATTATTTCAGAGGAGGACTAAACCACCGTAATATAAAAATAGGAAGAACTAAGGTCGGTAAACTATAATTGGAATATACGTAACGAAATATACGCCGACACTAGCGACACAACAAGTAATGTGGCGATCATATTGAACTAAAATATTCAAACGTACAAAAACACGCAATAACTCACCCATCTGAAATTTTGCTCAATGGTTTAGAATGATGATTCGACTTCTTTTATAATGATTGCGATAAGTCCTCCGTATACGGAGGACCCACCACATTGGAGGACCTATTCAATGTAAATTTCCTATATAAGGAGGAGCTATCCACTGGTGCGTATATATATATATATATATATATATATATATATATATATATATATATATATATATATATATATATATATATATATATATATATATATATATATATATATAATGTCATAATTTTCAGGTTATTGAAAGTAAGTTTCATCATTAAATATTAACAGGTCAAATTTAAAAGGGTTTAATTAAAAGTTGTTCTATATTTAAGAACACTTCAATATTGTATATAAAAAAATACAATATTACTCCTTAAAATTAATTGTTATCGGGAAAGGGAAACTGGACTAAACATAAAAAAGTGACATAAAAAATTATATTAGAGTTCATCAGAACCTAAATACTTGTGAATATTTTATTTCAAATTATTTAGAGAAGCTACAATAAGATGCTTGAAATAACTTAACTATACATTTAATTAATTACATGTGGAATACAGACTGTAGGTGCAGCTCGGGCTTGTCATAACCAAGCTCCTCTGGGGTATTGAGGCCTAATTCTGTCAAAGTAGGTCTCAGTTCTTGAATAATGTATGGGTAAATTTCATTAACTTTACTTCCACATTTGTCCTTAGTGGCTTCTAGTATCCTTACTGCCAAAGCAAAATCATTTACTCTGCGACAGGCCTTTAATGCAGCAATAAGAATTTTTGGCTCTGGAACCAAGTCATGACCCCATAAATCATTGATACCTCTTCTGATTTCCCATCCATCGATATCTTTTCTGTTGAAGAAGTTTTCGTAACGGCTATCAAACTGCTCATCAGTTTCGGTACTGTGGCTTGACATCAATCTATATAATGAAAAAATATGAGTTGATTATTTTATTGTGCATTTGAAAAATCTTACCTCATCGTAGATACATTTGGCTTAGGAGCAACAAGCGCTGTCCTTAAAATTGAGTGAGCACGGATAGCTGTATTTCTGAACATTTTTAATTGATTATTTTATGAAGAAACTTTACTTTGCTAAAAATTTATAGATTACGTAAAACTAAAGTGTCTAACCTCTTAATGTATTTGACAAATGACAAGGACAAAATGTATTCTTCTAGCATAATGTCCAGCGTCAATAATCGTTGGTTCATTGGTATTACCAAAGAATATAGACGCTTAGTATTACGTAGCTACCAAACCATAGACATATAACAAAATAATTATTATCCCTACTTCGCGCCAAATCTACACAGGTTGGTGATACTGAATTCACGTCCAATAAATGAGAAAAATGTATGTTCTATTTCGTCAATTTCTTCACGAAGTTATTCATGAATTTATTCACGGCAAAATTTAATGTCAACACCGGTCAAATTTGAACATGAAGCGACTTCACGAATTTATTGTTGGTGTAAAGCCCGTGTAATACAGGCAAACAGGGTTGAGTCAAGTTGAGTTTAACGATAGAACAGGCTGAATGTAGCTGCAAATGTCAAACATGGAACAACAAATTTCGGTTTTTAACAGTGTTTGCATGTATTTGTGTCTTTGGGCACAGAATAATAAACAATCAGAATGTCCACTCTCAGATGCCGCCTTTGAAGTTTTTCAGCACGCGCGCCATTTTTTCGAAGGAAACACTGAAACACATAACACAGAATAATAAACAATCAGAAGGCTCACTCTCAGATGCCGCCTTTGAAGTTTTTCAGCACGCGCGCCATGTTTTAGGAGGAAGGTTTTAGAAGGAAACACAGACTCTGATTAAGAATCTCATTTTGGTGTAATGGACCCATCGAGCAATAAGACAAAAGAGGGAATCTAATCGTTATAAAAAGGAGACCAAAAAAGTGGCCTCTGATGGCGGACACATCCGGAAATGGAAAGGCGCTAAATTTAAATTTTCCAACATTTGTTAACAATAGCTATAAAATATTTTTCAGACTAGAAAGTTTTAATTAAATATTAACGATAATAGTCTAAAAAGTGACATAATTGGTAAAAAACTTCAATATAAATAAAATTTCATGTGACAGTTGGGACAAACAATAACATAACCAAACTAAATTTGACTTCTTAAACAAGGAAAGAGACTGTCTATCCTTGTCTAAAGTGGCCTCTCAAGATGGCACTTCCTGTCTATCAATATGTTTACCCCTTCTACCTTTACATTCCCTCTTTTGTCTTATTGCTCGATGAATGGACCCAGTAATGGACCTATGATTTGTGAGGTTATGTAATTGTTTTATTGGCGGTTTTATTTAATAGCAAGCCCAAGCCCCCATAAAAAAAATTATTTCAACTCCAAGTTTACATAAATAATTTTAATCTAAAACATTTTCGGACGATTTTCACATTTGGTCCCATTGAAGATAGCCTCAAATTAGCTGTCAATTAAGTTTCACAGAACGAAATATTGCGTTGGCAGTGTTGCCATGTTCTTATAATGTATATGTTATATGCTTCAAGTACAAAGAGATAAAGCTTTTAAAAGGTACATTTTTATCATATTATTTTATAGATTTTGCAATTTTATACCTTATATAAAATATTAATGAAGTAATATTTGTTTCGTTTGATATTAGTTGTAATAAATTATTAAGGCCGTATGACACTATGCATTTTCTTGTATCACTTCTTATATCGTTTCTGATATAACAAAAAAATGGATAGTGTCATACAGGCGTATAGTTTCTTATATCAGAAACGATACAAGAATTTGTGTCCGCTGCATTTTCTTGTACAAGAAATGCGCCAATTTGTGCGCAAAACCGCTAAAACGTAAAACTTCTTTCATGCCATATTGGCGGGTGGAGATCATAGAGAAATAAAAATAATAATTATTTTTATTTCTCTATGGCTGGAGCAAAACTTTGATATATACCAGAGATATGTAAGTATCTCTGATGTATACATACAATTAGGCCAAGCAGACATCAGAGAAAAGTGCCCACCAACAATAACCAAGATTAGAACATCAGTAGCCATATTGAAAAACAATAAATCACAGTGATTTGTATCAAATAGCATCGGAACTACTGAAAGTAGGAGATGTTTTACTAAAAACAATACCAAAACAATACATATTACATAACCGCGCTAAAAATTCGTGATGAGTTTAAAGATTATTTTATATCTCCAAATAAGAGAGTAGAGTTTCAAGAGCATACCATTCAAACACATAATTTAAAAAAAAAACAAATTATTACAACCAAATTATTTATTATTTCTGTCTTCCATTACAACCTGTTGAATATCTTCAAAAATTATGGTTTCCAATTTAGTTTTCATATTGGGACATTTTATTTCTTTCATTTTTTGCACCACAGTATTTTTAAAAATAATCAGTAGCATATGTTCTCAGTCCCCAGTAGCTTGGGGTCCTTAGGCCCTTGTTCGGTGCCTCAGGTACTGCAGTTCTATTTTTATAGGTGTCAAAATTTCGACCAATCATGTTCCAAATCACATACAGTTTCTGGTAAAAGAACTTGCATAGTGTCATACAGGGCAAAAATGTACGTACAAGAAACGATACAAGAAAACATAATAGTATATTACATAACGAGAGTTGTAAGAAGCTTATTACATGCGAGTAAAAAAGTTGCGCGCGAGCCGCGTAGCGGCGAGCGCAGTAATTTTACAAGCATGTAATAAGCTTACAACTCAAGTTTTTGTACTATACTTTTTCTACCATTATTTTCGTTTATAAAAATAAAAATTAAATTACCACTATATTTACACTGACAGATTAATAATTTTTAATCTGTCAAAATAACGTCTGTTTATTCGTTTCCATGGTAACTCGACCAATTGACTTACGAGGCTTATGTGATATTACACATATTTATAAAACTGAAGCGTAATTTTTTTATTACGTGCTAGTCATTACGTGTCAGTATCTGTTATGATGCATTTACTTAGCATCCAAATAGTAGGTAATATACAATTTACTAGTAAGAGAGTAGAAAAATAAGTTTTTTTTTGGCAATTGCCCTTTGATAGGTTAGCGGATAGATTTGGCAATAGAGTCAGAACCCTCAAACTACCAGTTGCCAGATTGCAACAAATGCCTTTTAAATTTTAATATTTATACTGACATTTTACTATTTACTGTTAAAAACTGTTTTAAAACTATTTACTTTTTCTTTTTTTCGTAATCGTTACATATTCGTTTTAAATATCTTATTGCTTTTAATTGCGTATGTTTAATTTATAATGTAAATTTCAATACTGCGAAACACCAATATTTCATTCTGTCAAACCCATTTGAAGCTAACTTCAATGGGACCAAATGTGAAAATCGTCCAAACATTTTTATATAATATATCTGCTAAGTTTGTAGTTATTGGCTTTTTGTATTAAAGCTAATTTTTTTCTGGAGGTGGTGATAGTTTATATGTCAAATTTACTGCTATTCCTTTGCCTCCCTCATGTAATAAATCTCACACTTGTCAGAAATCAACAACTTTAATATAATATGAATGTACTAAATAGCTTAAATAACTATAGAGTTTTAAGTTATTGTCTTCTATCTTCATCATTTATACAACCTTTTTCGGTCTTTGTGTGTTTAAGAATACTTCCCCATTCTGTTATATTTTGTAGTAGGTTCTTCCGATTTTTAAAATTGCCATGTAATGTTTTATTTGTTCCTTATATCTAATCTTCAGCAGTCTTCCTCTTGTTTTATGTCCAGCTGATATTTATTTGTTTCTGTTCATGTTCCTTTTACTAAACTTATCCTATTTGTATGAATGTTAACTATCCAAATCCTGGTATGCTATGTGCAGTTAAAAATACATCTCCACATACAATTTTCTTTATCTCATTTATATGTGTGGCTCAAGATTTTTCCTTCTGTCATTGCTTATATTTGATACCCTACATTTATGTTTTCATATTCACTTTTAACATTTAGGATTGTGTTTGTCGATATTGCATTGACGGTTTTGAGAATTTACTGTAGAAAAACACTCTACAGTAAGTAATAATATTTCTTCCTGCTTAATCAGCTCAGATGATATTTACATAGTCTGATTAGGCTGCTTTACTATTTTTTAGTTTATCTATTGCTCTTCTAATCTTAACCATTGTTGGGAAATTTTTCTTGTGCTATCTAATTGGTCAAATGTAATTTTTATGGTTCGCATCTCTGCTCTTCAAGTTTTTCCTTATAATATTCTGTCCATCTTTTTATTTCATATTGTTCTGTCAATATATTTCCTTCTATCTCAGCACATCATGGTCCTATGTTTAAATTCTTCATTTGCTTTTTCATGTAGGACTTTTTGCCACTGCTCTTTTACTTAGGTTTTGTAACTCTTGAAGTTGTTCTTCATCTATACTTTCACTCTTCTTTTTTATGGACTTGTTTCTCTTTTTTTCATAGCTGTTCATTTTCTGCTTCTACTTACCTGAACTTGTGTAACTACTGCTTTATATGCTGTGTTTTTTTCTTTCAGTTATTCTTCATCAAACCATTCACTTCTTTGTTTTAGTACTTTTTGGATGCAAATTTAATGGCTTTTTACAGGTTTCCCTTTTCTGATTTAAGTTTTCATGATTTGCTTTATTTTATAATCTGTTGTTGAAGGTTCTTTTGTTTTGCCTTCAGAAGATTCAGAATCTACATTTGCCCCTCAGATCTATCATATTGTTGGCTCAGTACTATAACTAGGTAACTTAAAATTTTGGAGTTTTAAATTATCTTATTTTATATTATAAGTTAATTTCGATTGTAATTGAAAGAGTAAGCTTAAAAATAGAACAAATGATTATCAAAATATACAAAAAAGTTTCCAGTCTCTTACCATTTTTTTTTTAATTATCTCTAAAGTATAAATTTTGAATAAACATCATTTAGTGGTTTATTTTTATTAGGAAAACAATATGATGAACTTAAATAATAGGATTTTGCCTTTTATAGGCAGAATAGGATTTATGAATTCTGTATTATGATTTCATGTAATCGAATGAACTATCTTATAAGTAAATATTGGCAATATCATTTTAAAGTCGTCTACTTTAAAATGCATAATGTAT